GATTTGTACAGAGAAGCAGTTGCGAGAGCACTGCTCATCATGAAGCTTACATAGGAGTAATGAAGAAACTGCAAAGGTACAGATAGAAAGGTACTTTTTTCATCAATACTACCATATAATAAACATGGAATCGATAAACTGGGCTAATGCATAAAAATGTTCATTAATCCCCCCTTAGGAAATCGTGTCCCCAAACTAAAAATATTATAGTAAGAATTGCTTTTTATTAGAGAATTTTAAGAATTCTTTACTACAAAATGTCTAGTTGAGTTATAGAACTAGAGGGATATTTGCCACTACAAAGCCAATGACTGAGTCCTCCCATGGAGTGGCATTCAGGGGTCACTGCAGGGTGGGCAGCAAAGTTGAGCAGGGTCTTCTCCTCCCTTGGGAGGGAGGACAGGAAAGAAACACACAACCACAGCGTCACTTCTCTGACTGATGGAAGGTTAATGTGTTTCCTGATTTACAGGATGGGTCTGATGATACAGACTTGGACTTTCCATTCTTGCTCACAAGCCTTCACTGGGAGCACGGTCGTGTCATGAAGAGAGGCTAGAAAGGTACTAGGATGGGTGAGTGCCCACCTCCTCGCAGCCCAGGTGGTGATGCCACCTCCTCATCCTCCAGTTGGGATGGAGCCTCGTGTCCAGATGTGGTCTTCAAGACGCACGTTCCAGAGTGGAATATAATGACATCCATTGCCACACGGAGCCTGTGCCAGGAATGCTCCTCTGTGGCTTGGAACGCATTTACCAGCTGCCCTCAAATACAAACCTCATGCCCTTATGGGCAAACTTCCAAACCTTTCTTCTCCAGTCAGTCCGCTCTCTGAAATTGGAACCGTCTCCCTCCAGCTATAAGGACCATATCCAAAATGGAAACTCCAAACTCAGAATTCCCTAGAATTCCCCAGCCACCCAGGATGGTATAGGTGTGTCTCTATGAGAGGGGTCCCGTGACACACAGTTGGTGACCTGTTGAATGGTTGGAAACCTTCAGGTTTGAGAGCATCCCCAGGTGGCCGAGCCCATCTGGCCCACCCAGGCTCCAGTGAGGAGTCTTTTGGCTGTCTGGGGCTGTCTGGGGCATCTGAGGACACTGCTGCCTGGGGCAGCACTCGGGGATGGTTGTAGTTAGGTGGAAGTGGGGAGGGACATGAGGAAGGGAGCGGGTGCTGGCAGGGAATGAAAGCCCTAGAATGTAAAAGCTGGATGAAACTTCAGAGCTCATCTCGTCAAAGCCCCTCGTCTTACGGATGGGGAAACTGAGGCACTGAGCGGGGGACATGAATGGCCCTCGGTCACACAACCAGATGGAGACAAAGCCAGGGCTGGAAGCTGTGTCTCCAGAGCCTGAGCCCTGTGCTTTTTTTTCTCCTAGAGTATGCTGCCTTCCCAAATCAAATATAGAGCCCAGGAAGACGTATCTTTCATATTGAATCTGCCATTAAAATGCTGCATTTATAAAAAATAACATTTGAACCCTGAAAAATTCTTCATTAAAACACAATGCTCTTTCTTGAAAATACTCCAGAGCAAAGTTTCCCAGATTCAGAGAGGATGATGGGAATGTATGTGGGAGGTGACATGTGAGCTCCTCTCAGAGCAGGTGCCTTCTAGGCCCAAGTGATCGGCAGCCCTTTCGTATTACCTTGGTTCAAGTCCACAGTTGGGTGGAAGGAATCTGAGGGTGGAGGCTGGTGGCTGGTGGCAGACAAGGTATCTCTGAAGAAAATGGATTGAGTTTGGTGGCAGCAAAGTTAGTATGGATATTCCTCCATGCTTAGAAACTCACGAGGCCTTCAGAGCTTTCTGGGACAAAGCGGGATCTGAGATGCACACACGCAGGGAGGGGGCGAGTGAGTGGGAGCAGGGGCTGAGAGCCCCCATGGATATGAGTCTTTGGCCAGAGTAGGAGCCTCTGGGCTGAGAGCGCTGGGTCACGAGCTGCGGGGTGCTTGCCAGCCACAGGAACCAAAGCTGACCGTCCGAGGCCGTGACATCTCTGAACTATAGGTCCCTTCCTCTCCCTCCCAAAGATCAGAGGGGAGAGCCCTTGGCTGTACACACTGGGGTATTATTTCACCCAGACAGGGGGTGAAGGATACACTGACGAGACAAGCAGAAGACCTGAAGAATGTCTGATTCCTCCATTGTTTTCATTGGGACCTCTGATTGTAGAGCTAGAGACTATAGCAGGACCAGGCCAGAGAAGAGCAGATGGAGGAAGGGGGGATTCAAGGAAAAAAGTGTGAACTGGTGTGAAGATCGAGGTTCGGACAGGAGTTTTTGGGAGTGAGAGTGGAAAGAGAGGGGAACATTTGAATTGGGGGAAGGGTTGGAACGTTCTAAGGGGCAGACCCATGGCGCAAGACACTCCCTGAGACCCTGGGGAGCCCTGAGGGCAGAAGCCTAGTTAGGAGGTTCAGGGAGTCTGGGAAAAGCCTTTTTGACTTCTGGATGCACAGATCCAGGAGTTAGGTGGAGGAAGCAAGACGGGAAGGATGGAGGGGCATGGGACATCAGGACAGCTGTGCTGCCATTCAAGGCCAAGGACAGCAGGAATCACTTTCAGAGCAGGAGAAAACCTGGGAAGACCCCTGTCCATTCCTATCAGAGCAATGGAGACGTGCACAAAAGAACAAAATGAGCACAGGGGCATCTCAGGCTTCAGGTGTCCCTTTCCAGGAGGGGAGCTTCTATTATACGGGAAGATTGCCCTTCTATGTGTACTAGAGGCCACTGGCCTGGCTGGGCTGAAAGTCACGGCATCTGAGTTCCAGCCCCAGAATGGACGCTCTTTTACCTGCCATGCGAACTTGACTGGTGATGTGGCTTTGCCTGTTCTGTAAAGATGCATGGGACAACTGAATAAATGGGCTACCTCTGTGCCCCAGTTATGACATTGTTTTCTGGATTTTCAAATGGGGACTGAATGGGAGCAAGTTTGTTGACCTATCTCTCTCTCTCTCTCTTTTTATTCCCTCGCTACTTCCCTCCTTTCCTCCCTCTTTCCCTCCATTTCTCTCTTCCAGGCCCAAGGGTGAAGCACAAGAAATCCTTCAGAAGAAGTAAGCATCCAGGTAGAATTTTCCAATCCGACTGACATCAGAGGCTTTAAACCAGACAGTGCCAAGGCTGGGATGAGAAATGTTTTGGAATCAACCTATCAAACAACCCCTGAGACAGACAGATACCTTGTCAGAGAGAGGGCTGGGGACGGCCCCAGGGAAAGGCATCGCCCTGAGGGCTGGAGAACGTGGAAGCCGGGAGGTGAGATCAGCTTTCTGGGTTGGTGTGTAGACACTGGGAAAGGGGCTTCTCACCCACGCCGCTCCTTTGTCCTCTCCACCACTGGGCTGCCAAGAATTATTAGCAGATTCAAGGGTGCTGGGCTTAGGGTCCAGCGGTGAGACACCCCTTTTGTTTCTGGGAGTGATCAACTGCTCTGTTGAGAGGAATTTCCTCCTTTCCAGCCCTCTTTGCCTCACCTTCTGGAACAAACTCTCATAAACCCGTGGGGACCAGCCCTTAAGGAGTTTATGTGTTTGTGGGGAGGAGGGTGGGGCCATCCCTGGCCTCAAGGCTGCACACTCCCAGGGACACCTGCCCAGGGGGGAAGCCGAAGGCTGCTCTTGCAACCCCACCTTCACCCCTCAAGATTCATGCCATGGTTTCCTGTTCACCTTGGCTTGGGGCAAACTTGGGGCAGGGGAGAAGGAGACAAGCGCTTTGGAAGCCTTGAAATCAGTAAGAGGAAGCCGTCCATTGATTTCTCTGTGGTTTGTGGACTTGGTTAGATTAAAAATTCCCAGGGTTGATACTGAGGAGTTCTTCCCCCGACACCTGCCTTTTTAAAGGGCCATACATGCAGAACTGAGGGAATGTCAAATCCCATTCAAGGGCATCGTTGATGGAGTCTGACTGTGGTGACAGTCATAATTTTAGTGTCACACCTTCACCCAACAGTCTGGAGCTGATTCCCCAGCCCCAGCCCAGGGAGGTGTCCTGGCCCTGAGAATAGGGGATCCCCTTCTCTCCCTCCCCCCAGGCTCTGGTCTCCGGGTAGTGGATGATGCTTAATTCACTACCAGCTCCCCAGACAGCCGTCACACCGAGCCCACCCCAAGGCCGAGGCAGAGAAGGGGCTGAGGTGGGCTGACAGTGGTGGCCCCACAGAGCCGGGGGCCTGGATCTGCCTGATCCTCAGTGCCCCTGCAGGGAGGGATTGAGGTGGTGGGGAGCTGCCCAGGTGCCCCCAGGCTGTAGCCTGGAGAACCGTTATTTGCTTTTGCTGACAGTCTTTGTCCCTTTGATCCAGAGGGGGCACAGGTCTGAAGGAGGAGAGGCCAGGAGAGAAGGATGGAGCTGCAGGAGGATGGAGGCAGGGCAGGGAGGGAGGTGGGGAGAGTGTGCTCTGCACAGAGCAGGTGGGCGGCTGGGACGGAGGAGCAGGCGGGGTGTAGGACAGCCACCTCAGGTCCTCCTTGTTTAGGGGCTAGAAGCCTCTGCTTCTGTCCTGCCTGAGGTGTACAGCCGGAGACAGCAGAGCCCTACACCCTGCAAGTGGCGAGCCCTGAGACCCTGGGCATCACAGTGGCCCTCCCCACCCTGGCCCTCTGGCCACCGCAGGCGCCTCCCAGGAGCAGAGCAGAGGTGGAGAAGGCAGGCCTGAGTGGCAGTCATAGTTCAGATCCAGAGGCCTGGAGGGGGTGTGGAGATAATTGGCTAGCTAGGGAGGGCACCCCCAAAGTCCCTGGACCCCATCGCTACTCCCCTCTGGGAAGGCTAGAGCCGAAGCCCCAGAGAACCCAGGGCCGGGGAGGAGCAAAGCCCCCCCCCCAAAGACAGGATGGGGGCCCTGTGGGTGGGCAGCAAGGGGGAGGCAACTAAAGGGAGGGAGCCCCCACTTTGCTGGGGCAGAGGAGAGGGCACAGGGCCGGGGGGTGCCCACAGTGGTCAGCGAAGGAAGGGCCACTCGGTGGGGACCAGAGGGTCCCAGCAGGCAAGAAAAGGGTCATTATTGTGCTTATGGACACAGCAGCTCCCTGGCTCTGAGAGAGCGAGCAGGCAGTTTTTAGGCACTAGAAGATTTCTGTGATGCGGTTCTAGGTAAATGAATGAGGCCGAGTAGCCTATTCGGTCAGCCCACTGACTGCACCTGCTGGCCAAGTCAAACCCAGGCAGCTTCGGACCAGGGTCAGGCGAGGGTCTCTTGGCTGCCAGAAGCTGCAGCTGAGTCCCCAGGAGCAGGAGAAAGGGGTGTGGGGTGGAGGGAGTTGGTGAAGGTGGAGGGGGTGAGAGTGGAGCCTAGCCCCCTCCTCATTCCCCGTTGACTCTTCTGGAAGAGAGAACGATCACTCTAGATCCCAGGTCTGGGCATGTGGAATCAGGCCATCGGGGCTATGTCCTGGGGTATGGCTTTCTGGGCGAGGGTGGCCCACCCCCGCCTCCTACAGGGGGGACAAGGGGAGGGAGAACTGCAAGGCTAAAAGCTCTGCTCCTGGCCCCTTCTAGCTCCTGCCCCGCCCTGCCCCGCCCAGCAGCCCCGGCCCTGCTCCACCGGTCACACCGTCACTTCGGTCTTGCTGGCTGTGTAGCAGGTATGGTGGCCGGGGATGTAGTGCAGCTGTTCCACCGTGTTGTGTCTGCGTGAGGCGAAGGCGTGGCGCTTGGCTGCCGTCTGGCTCTGGCCCAGGGTGGCGTAGGAGTTATTGGAGGCACTGGGATGGGAGTGCATCTTGGTCATGCGGTAGCGGTCCAGCACGGGGGTGGACACAAAGACGTCCGTGTGCGAGATGGCCCTCGATAGCGACTGCTCGGGGAAGGCCGTCCGCTCCGGGGACAGCAGCGGGTCCTGGGAGTGCAGGCGCTCCGTGGAGAGCAGCTGCTCGTCTGACAGGATGCGGTCATAGGGCATGCCAAACTCATCAGGCAGGCCCCGCTCCGGGGACAGGACCCTGTCCTGGGACATGGCCCTGATGGGCCGGCGGGGTCGCTCCCGTGGCAAGGGCTTCTGTTGTGACATCTGGATGACGTTGAGGGGCAGGGTGCCACGGGCAGCCAGGTCAGGCAGGTGCCGCCGCCTCATGTAATACTCATCAGCCTCCTTGTCGGCTGCAGGGGTGAGACACAGAGAGAGAAGGCAAGTGGGTGACACTGAAGCCAGGATTCGGGGAGAGCCCTGCACCCCTCCTGCTCCACCACAGACCTGTAAATCTCCTGGGATAAAATGGTCAAACCCCATTAGTTATGGATCAGGGAATGGGGGCTCAGACAGGTGAAGGCAGTGCTTCCCCCGCTGGACGTGCAAACCAGCCCCCAGGGGCTTGTTAAGTGCAGATTCTGGTTCAGTGCATCTGGGGTGGGCCCAAGAGCTTGCAGCTCTAATAAGCTGACAAGTGATGCTCATGCACCTGGTCCATGGACCACCTTGGGTAGTGAGGGGTTAAGGGGCACCCTGAAGGTCCCTGGAGAGTTCATGGCAGAGTTGAGGGCAAGTCTGACTCCCTGAACTCCATGGTGCTGAAACAGAATGCTCCCTGTCTTGCCAAAGCACCCATGTAAGCAGCTTCCCAATGAGGGCCAAAGCCTCGCTCTATGAAAGCTGGGTCACAGAACCAGCCGCCTGCTAGAATAAAGTAAGATGCTCCAACTAGGAGGCATTTGTGAAAATGCTTAGCTGGTAACTTAGGAACATAGTAACACCTTCTCTGGAGTAACAGCCAATGCACAGGAAGCCAATACATGGCATCCAGCCCCCACACAGCCACATAACCAACCTACACATACTCTGCCTGTGCCCACAGCACGAGCAGGCTGGAGCAGTCCTATATGTGCACCTCATTCAGAGGCCCCACCCTCCACTCCATCCAGTAAGCCCTCCCAAGCTCACACTGCCTTCTGTACCCTTGAACTTACCCAGGACTTGCATGTTACACACAAACCTGTATTGCCCCAAATTCAGGAATGAGGCTTCCTGTTGATAGCCGTCTAGTGCCCTGTGAAGTGTGGGAATGCTGTCTGCTCCTGTTTGGCCCAGACGGTCACTGATGGGTATCCTGTCTCCTGAGCCATGTTCCCTCACCCACAGCATCCATCAGATTCCTCAGGTCATCAGAGATGCCAACATCTAGCCATAGAGACTCAACATTCCACCATGAAGGTGGCTGATGTGGACTTGGGCTGAACTTCCACCAGGGTAGGTTACCCTGCAGCTTCAAGCAAATGCTCGGCCCTCGGGCTCCAACAGCAGTTGGGTGGTCATCAAAAGAGACTCATGGGGAAGTGGGAAGAGAAGGTCCAAGGGTCAGAAAGCCAGGAAAGACGAGAAGTCCCTCAATGTGCTTTCTTGAAATTTGAGTGTCTTAAACCCATCAATTCCCAGAGCCTCCCCAGACTCAAATGGTAGAGCTGCAATCACTGGAGACACTGGACTGGAATGATGAAATGGGGTGTGTGTGGGCGAGGGGGAGAGTCTCAGGTCCTCAAGGCAGTGTTCACCTGGTTAGAGAGGGACCTGGTTTGTGGATCTCTAGGAGGGGTCTCAGAGAAAGCTCTGGCCCGTGCTACCTCAGTTCCAAGATAGGATATAGGGCAAAGAAGGCCCAGGGTTTGAAGAAGGCAGGTGGGGCATGGGGCTGGAGAAAGGCTTCTTTTGCAGTGAAACTGGTACATGAGTTGAAATGTTGTCTCATAGGGGAATGTGGATCTGAGGATTCTACAGCCTCTGACTATGAAAAGAAAGGACTCAGGCCATAAAGAACAAAAGCAAGGGTCTTGTCTATTCTCTTCTTCTACCCTACAACTCCTTCTTTGTTCTTGGAATTCCACACTTGACCCCTTGGGTATGGGACAAGAAAGTGAGACACAGGAGGGTGTGCTGGAGACCCCGAAGACAGCCCCAAACTTCCCAGGGGAATCTGGCTTACTTAGCCTCTTCAGAGAGGAGTACTTGCTGGGGTTGGTCTTCACTGCAGACTCATAGGATGGGGGCAGGTGGGCCAAGTTCTGGAAAGAGCGGGAGAAGGAGAGGTCATAGGGCTCGGTGGCCGATGTCAGGATGTTGTTCATCCGTGGCTTCTCTGCAAGAAAAGGGAGGGGCACGTTCTGTTAGTGAGGACCAAGGCTGAGGCAGGCACGAGGGAAGGGTCCAGGTTCTATTCCTTCGCTTTCTGCTTCATCCCCGACTACAGCCTCCATCCTGCTTTCCTGGCCCTCTGTGCTAGGACACAGGGGGTGCTTGACTCAGTTTTCCTCATGCCCAGTTCCAGTTGTCAATAAGCCTGGGGGCAGGTGCTTGCTTTAGCTGCCACCAGCCACCATGACCGTTGATATGGTTTGGATGTGTGGACCCTCCAAATCTCATGCTGAAATTTGATCCCCAGTGTTGAATGTGGGACCTGATAGGGAGTGTTCAGGTCCTGGGGGTGGATCCCTCATGAAAGGCTTGGTGCCCTCCCCGTGATACTGGGTTCTCTCTTTAGCGGTTCACACAAGAGCTGGTTGTTTAAAAGAGCCTGGTACCTCCTCCCTCTCTTTGCTCCTTCTCTCACCATGTGAACGCCTGCTCCCCTTCCCCTTCTGCCTTGACTGGAAGCTCCCAGAAGCCCTTGCCAGAAGCAGATGCTAGTGCCACGCTCCGTGTACAGCCTGCAGAACCATGAGCCACATAAACCACTTCTCTCGATGAGCTGCCCAACCTCAGGTTATCTTCTTTATAGCAGCCAGAGCAGATGAATGAAACAGTTCGCCACTCTGGGAACGGGAGATGTGACTGAGTCTAAGGAGAGGGTTCTTTCTCCTGGTACAGCACTGGGTTGTCTGGTGAAAACGTGAGCCCGATGGGACTTGGGGGCATCTTAAAGCCATCTCCTGTGTCAAGGTGCTGTCCCTGTCCTAATAGCTTCAGGTAAACCCAGTTCTCAGGCTTAGAAAAGTCTGATTTGGATGAGATGGGGTGGCTTATCTTGTCTACGTACCCACAGAAGAACCAGGTCCAGGACGTAGCTCACCGAGACCCCAACCCCTGCTCCGTCCGTGCATCATCCCACCTCTCATGTGGCCTCCCACCTTGGGAAGCCCCACACCGGACGAGCCACCATGACCCAAACAGCCATTTTATTGTACTTTAATTGTACTTTAATTCCTTCCCTGAAGCCCCTCCTTTAGCCACCTCTAAGCCACTGGAGGGCAGAATGCAGGCAAAAATGCACAGCACATCATTCTCTTCTCCCTGCTCCCCCAAGACAGGGCTTTGGATGCCAGACTCTGAAGAGAAAGGAAGGAGTGTTGTTCCTGCCAGGCCTGGGAAAAGGAAAGGAATGGGAGTGGAAGGAGAGGGGAGAGGAAAACGAAGGGGATGACTGGTAAGGCACAGGCAGGGTGAGCTGGGCTCAGGGCCAGACCAGGACTAAGGCAGGAGAGGGGAGGGGAAGTGCAGGGCGGGTGAGGGATGCGGCACAGAAAGGAATGGAGGTCCCGGCAGGAAGTCCAGCATGCCTCAGTGCTTCACCAACTGGAGGAGGAGCAGCTACAGTGGGGGGCCAATAGGTGGTTGCTGGGGAAACGGTGGTACCATTCCCAGGATCAGGTGGCTGGGAGGCTACAGCCTAGCAGCATCATCCCTCCAACCTCTTTGGTCTAAGACACTTCAAGGACAAAGAAGTTCTGAGAAGGAGCAGGCCTAACCTTGGGCAAATGTGCAGCAGGACTGTGGCTTCCCCTGCCTCTTGGCAGAAAGTGCCAACCCATGGCAAGCAGGAATTCTGTGGGCCTTGGGAGAGAGAGGTCATCCCAGGCCTAGTCCAAGGGCAGCCCCATGCACAGGGGACTCCTGGCTTCTTCGTCCTTCCTGCCTGCTTTGTCACCCCAACACTGGGGATGGAGCCAGGGGAGCTCAGCCAATGTGCTGGTGCTCACATCAGCTCTGTACATATGTGAGGGGGTGGGGGATGCTCTCCATCCCTGAGAGATCAGAACATGCTGTACAGAAGGCGCCTCCCTGCCATGGATCAGGACAGACGCCAGAAGTGGAGTGGGCAGGAACCTAGGAGCGCTCCTCCCCAGAGAGGTTCTAGCCACTCTGCCCTTAGTGTTTGTGTCTTCACTTTGGCCATGCTGGAGAGGAGTGAGCTTCCCTCTGCCCACTGGCATCACAATCCCTCCGAGGGCATCACTCTGCTTACCCACTTCCAAATGCAATATTTCTGGGCACTGATGCTCCACCACTGTGCTCCAAACATGTCATGGAGCCAGGGCCCACTCTTCCTTGCCTGCTGCCCCCACCGTGATAGTTCCCCATGCCCTCCCCGCTACTGGAATGCCTCCCTTCCTCTTCCTCTATCAAGGTCCTCCCTTATGCAAGGGTTCCACTGTGACGATGTCATATCTTGATATCTGTTCTTGTAGTCTGTATCGCTCTTCTAGTCAGTTCCACCCAGTTTAGTATCTGACCTCAAATAATTTGACTTGAGTTGGGCTTGTCAATTTCCAAAGATTGCAATGTCATTGACAGCAGAGCCTTGCTTGCCAGTTTTTCTGATTCCATCATAATGCTTGGCCCAAATTATAAGGATCCAATTAATGGTCCTCACAGAGCGTTAAGTAGACACAGGGCTCCCCCCTCCTCTCTTAAGAGTCACTCTGCCACCTCTGGGGAAAAGTCTAACATGCAAGAAAGGAATGCAGAGGCCACTCAGCTCCCACTGCCCTGTGCGCTGCTCCATGGCAGGGACCGGGTCCCCTCCACTCCCATCTCCTTGCACCAGTCGGAAGAGAGAAGGCAGGAAGAGAAGGAGGGAAGAATGGCTCCTCCTTTTGTATTCAGGAGTCTCTGCCTGTGTTGGCTCCTTCTGGGGAAAATCAGCTCGGTAGTTCTTCTTTGAGAATGTGGCTGAGCAAGTGGGAGCTCTCTGCGCTTGCCTTTTCTGCTCCTCTTCCTGCTGCTTCTTGCTCCCCAAGGGCACCCCCAGCTCCCTGCCTCCGCCTTCTGCTTCTCCCTCCCAGCGCTCCAGCACAGATTGCCCCATTCCTGAGGCTTCTGTCACTGCCTCCAAAGCTGCACTTATATCACATCTTCAGCTCCACCCTCCCTCCAGGCTTCATCGCTACACTCCGAACTGCCCGTCAAATAATAGTTTTTGCACATACTGTGGTCATATCAAATTCCAGGTGTCCAGGTCCAAATTCACCATCCCCCGTTCCACACTGACCATTTTCCTGATTCCTTAGATTGTGTTAATAGACCCCCCATTCTTCTAATCAATCTCATAATGACTCTCATCAGCCATATTCAGTGAGCAATGAAGCTTTCCCAATGCTTTCTTCAAAATGTTTCCTATCTCAGCCCTCCTTCTGTTCCCACTGTCAACATCACCACTGGTAGCTGCTTCTTTTAACTGATCTCTCCAATTTCTCCCAGCTCTAATTTTTCTTAGACCCCACAACCTGACACATCTGATTATACTGTTGCTTTCATCACATTTCTGCCAGGAGTGTAGCACATCAAAATATCCCCCTCTCCTTTTTCTAATTACAATATCTCTCAACCCTGGTGCTGAGGCACAGCGTAATCTGACACGACAGGGGTAGGTCTCCCTACCAGGTGGGCTGCAGAATTTATCTTTGTTTTGAGTTTCTTTCTCACTAAAACTTTAATGATGTCTTCACTTTTTCAGAGCAAAGAGACAAAAATGACTGATAGTTCACCATTTACATGGCTGTCTTACGTTCTATTGAGTTTGAAGCAGGTACCAAAAATAGTTTTTCTCTGTTAAGTTGTGATCTGGTGGGAGGATGTAATAACCTAAGAGAGAAGCATGGTTTTGTAACCCTTTGGCACTATGCTAACACTCCTCTGCTCGACAGCTTCCAGCCTCGTCCCCTGCCAAGAGGCTAAAGCCCAAATCAGTTTTGAGTTTCATCAAATCTTAATTAGTTTGGAGAGGATTGATAGAGTTGAACCAAATCTCATGTCTTTTGTAAATGATACCATAAGTAGCTTTGGGTAAAGGAGAGTGTTACACTCCTTGTTGTGGACCTATGGAATTTATGACTGCAAAAAGTGATGTGGATTGTAAGTAGAAACTGGTCAAGAAATGGTCTAGCTCCTTTCCTTTCCAGGTAGAAGATCACTCTGATATCAGAGACAGAAACACCAAGGGGAAAATCTTCTAAAAGTGAGAGAGACGCATCGTGGTCCTGGGGGTAGGGTGGAGGCGTTACACATGGCTCCTCACAGCTCCTTAGCTTCAGTGAGTCAATGGCCATGTGTTTGATGCCCTGGTGGGCATCAGTAGATAGCATGGCACTGGGAATGAGGGTGGAATGCAGAGTGCTCTCAATCATCTCTCACCATGTGGAGGGATCTGGGTAGCACTGGTGAAAATCGGGTGGTTAGACTGATGATCACCTGAAAATCATAGAAAAGAAAATTGTAAAGAAAAGTTCAGGCATTCCACTGTGTCTCCAACATAAAAACATCTCTCTTTACCTCTCATGTGCTTCTCTGGATTAAAAGAAGCACTTCTAAGAAAGGCAGAGGTCATTGTATTAGGCTTAAAGAAACTTCCCCTGCTGTTTCTGTCTCTCTCATTCTGCAGCAGGGCTTCCTCTGTCACCATGGTGACCCACCCACACCCCTGATCTGGCTGACTCGCTGCAGAGGCTTTGTTGGGGTCCGGTGAGTGGTGGAGAGAAGGGTGGAGACAAGTCTGCATACAGGGGTTGGAGAACTGGGCAGGGGAAGCAGATTCTTTCCGTAGTGATGGTGGGGTATTAGGGCGTGGTTAACCAGGAAAAGGATGCCTTGACTTAGGAGCTTATACTTTATGGGGCTTTGATTTGTCCTGGGTCCACTGCCTGAGGTCAGGAGTCCTGGATTCTAGGCTCTGTCCTACCTTTAAATGACACAGCCTAATAGTTAAAAAGCATTTCCTTTATTAATAATGCAAAAGCCCCCTTTGATTGAATGATCCCCCAAATTAATATAGTCACAGTTGCCAAAGCCTAGAGTTCAAAACATTCCAAGGACTTCTAACATTGTTTGAATGAAGATTTGGCTTACGACTACAGTACACCCCAGTATTGCATTATTGCTGCAACTCAACATTGTATTCTTGTTTTTCAATTGTGCATATATCTGATTTCAACTAAAGCAAGCTAAAGAGGAAAGGCATGAGGTCTTCACTTTAGTTTACCTAAACCATGGATTACAGCTCTGTCCTCCTTGCAGGGCTGCTTACATCTTATTGAAACCACCTTTCCTGCCTTTGGCATTATACTCTCTGGCTACTCATTCCCTGGCTCCTTCACTCTATCCTGTCTCCTCTTCTCTTCTCTAAATACCAAGGCTCCCTCCATAAGGCGCTGGTGTCTTTGTGAAGATTTCAGCTCTACTCCAGGGCTTCCACCCTCTTGCCCAAATCTATACTTGTAACCCGAGGTCCATCTGATCTGTAGGGTTAGATTTTATAATAAATTGTTTATGGACATCCCCTTGAAATTCTTGCCCCTAAACCATTAAATACCAAAGCGCACTTGTCATTTTGTTCTCCAACATCAGGCCTCTGTCCATGGTACTAACGTTCCATGGGCTTGGAACATGAAATTCAGTCATCTTCACCATTTCCCTCCTTTCACCTTCCATATCCAGTGAGTCCAAAGTCCTCTTCCTGTGGCCATCTCCTAACCCAGGTCCACAATGTATCTTTTTGTCAGGATTTATTTTAGCTTTAGTCTCTAGCCACGTCCAAGACAAATCATCCCGTGTTCTCCTGCCAGATACTGTGTCCGTATCCCCGAGTGTGGGTCCTCTACCGAATCCAAACTTCACAGAACAAATCCCTTTATCAAAATCCCTTTATTAAATGAATTTGTTCTGTAAATTTTGGATTTGGTCAAGAGGCCATACTCAAGGATCCAGAAGGCCACATGTGGCCCCCAGGCTGCAGGTTCCCCACCCCAATGAGGATGCTGTCCCTTCTCAGGACGGGTTGAGTCATAGCCAGGGAAGAAACTATTCGACAAAAGCCGAATGGATTCTGCACCAGATCTGAGTTTAAGCCAGAAGAGAGAACCCAGAAAGGGATGTAAAGGACAGATTTTTTTTTTCTTGCTTGTCCTCCAGAGGCAAGGAGAAAACCAATTTCAGTTTTTTTTCTTTTTGTTTGTTTGTTTGTTTGGTTTTTAAGAAATACGGCAGAGGCAAATGCAAGAAATAGGAGAACCCTGGTTGAATGATGGAGAGAGGCAGTTAGTGAGAAACACTTCTAGTTTTCTATCTCAGAGTCTATGTGTCACCAGGAAAGGGTTATGTAGAATTTAGATTCCGTTCTAATTGCTGATAACAAATTATGCCCCATGCCCTGTACTAAATACCTTCATGTGCTTTTTAAAAAAAGGAATCCTCACAATGATCTTGATTTAAATGGGGACCGGAGTGCAGGGGAGTGAATATATGTTATTGGCCTGCCTTTTTGCAGACACTGTATAAAACCCTTTAAATACATTAATTGAAATCTTTATTGTAGTTTTTTTTTTTTTTTACAGATGAGGTCACTAAGAGAATAAATGTCTTGAATTTATAAGTGCAGTGCTTTTCCTTTTGTTTAGTCTCACTTAAAATGTTTCAGTCAACATTTGATTTTTTCCTACCTTGTAATTAAGGAGAAAATTGTACAACTAGATATAAAGATGAAAACTAAAACTGCCCTAAAATAACCACTGTGACATTCTATTGTCTTTCCTTTTATTGCCCTCCCCCCACAAATGACTGTGTGTTCTTACATACACCCACACCCCCCACAAACATATACACTTAATATTACAATGAATAATCGTGTGTGTCATTTTGCACAGATTGTAGTTCTTACAACAGATTAAAACATGGCAATTGGATCCTCACACTTGTGCAAATGAAAATTATATGTTACTCTGTGCAGCATTTTTACAGCAGCAAAACTAGGAAGCCACCTAAATGCACATACATATATGTACACATACATACAGATAAAAATATCTAGTTTCCCCATATGTGAGCATGCTGCACATACTACTTTAATCTTTTTTACACTTAACGAAGACCATATCTTGAATATATTTTCATGTTTTGAAATATTCTTTGAAACATTGTATATGGTTTCACATATTCTTTCTATAGAATATTCCATATGTCTATGTATCATTTAAGCATAACATATTTAAGCATATTGAAGTACTCCCCTATTTTTTGGTATTTAGATTTTTTATTTAAAAGTTTAATAATGTTACACCAAACAACCTTGAACACAATTCTTTGGCCATATCTCATTTCCTTAGGCTAATAACTAGAAGCATCATTTCTAGGTCCACACACTGTCAATTGTCTAGCAATGTAACAAAGTAGAGTGATAAATTTCCTCATATTGCACCATTCATTTATTCCTGGAAAATACCTTATTTGATTCTTGTGTCTTATTATTTCATTACAACACTGTATTCTATTTGCTTATATTTTATATGTATTCATAAAGAAAATTTGAGATTTTTTGTGCTAACACTGGGTTTTTTGTATCAAGATAATGATTTTCTAAAGCCAAGTGAACAACATTTCATCATTTTTATGCCTTGAACCTATTAATATAGCATATGAAATATCTGTTCTTTGGAAGTTTGAAGGAATGCAGCAATAAATTGTGTGGTGTCTTTTGGGGGGTCCTTCTATTAGCACAGTATTAGGGGCTTGGCTTGTGTTATTTCATTGACCGCGCAATGAGTTCCCTAGGTAGATATTGTTATCATTGCCAATTTACAAATAAGGAAACTGAAGTTTGAGAGGTTGAATATTTTGTCCAATGTTACATAGCTAGCAGGTGAAGCTGGACTACAAACCCAGGCAGGCTAGAGCTATAGCCCACATTCTTAACCACTATGTATACTTCATTCTCATACTTGGTAACACGATCTTTACATATAAAGCTTTCTAATTTTGAATTCAATTTTTAATTTCTATTTTTCGTTGAAAAGCATCCATTGGACATTTGACACTTTATTGGCTTAAAACTGTAACACCACTCACAAAAATCTCCATGTGTGAAGTCATATATCTTTTCTTGTTCTTAATTTTCTGTGTCAATATTTTCTGGATTAGCAATCTATTCATACTATTATTCTTTTTCAAAGAACTACCTCTTACACATATCAGTTCTGTCATTTCTTTTATCTTCAAATCATTATTTTATGCTTTTGAATTTGTTAATTCCTGCCTCCTAATTTTCTTTGGTTTGGTTTGTTATTGTTTTCTAATTTCTTGGCTTGAATCTTTAGTCCATTTATTTTCACTCTTCTCTGTTAGTAATATAATGTCTTTAGCTATGAATTTATCTCTGGCACTATTCCATGAGCATGAATACACAGTGTTCTTATTGTTGTTATGTCCTAAATGATCTGTAATTGCAGCCTTGATTTCCTCTTTGACCCAATGGTTATTTAGTAGAGTGCTGTTAAATTTCAAAGTGTTTGGGTTTGTGGGTTTGAACTTTTGCCATTAATTTTTGGTTTTATTGTACTGTGGTCAAAGCACACAGCCTGTCCAAGTTCTGCTTTTGGAAACTTACTGAGATTTCCTTTGTGGGCTAATATACAATCAATGTTTGTAAATATTTTATGAGTACTTAGCAAAAAGGTATACTTTATTTTTGTAAAGTACAAAATTGACATATGTCTATTAAATCAGATGCATGAAATACATTATTCAAGTCCCTGCATGTCCTAATTCGTTCTTTGCCTACTTAATCTGTCAAACACTAGGGGGTATGTGTTAAGGTCCTCCACTACTCTTGTGCTCCGGTCATTTTCTCTTTGTATTTGTAGCAGAACTGGTTTTATATATTTCACAGCTACATTATTCAACACAAAAAAGCTAATGATGCTTATCTATTCTTTATTGATATTAAATAACCCTTTCTTTCTTATGTAATACCTTTTTTGCCTTTAAGTCTGCTTGATCTTATATTTATGTTGCCTTCCCAGCTTCCTTTTTGTTGACATTTGCTTAATAAACTTTTTCTGTTTTATGCTTGCCTCCTGATGACAGTGTGTGTGTGTGTGTGTGCGTGTGCGTGTGTGTGTGTGTGTGTGTGTTTAATCTACCTTATGTGCTTTGGTATTTTCTTGGTTGTCCAGTTAGCTAAAAGTGATTCTGCCCACTCATAAAATGGTCCTGCCTTCTACTGGAGCATCTTCCCTTCCCTGCTATCGTTGTGCAACATGATCTTGCCCCCTTCCGTGAAGCCCAAACTCCAGGTGTTATAGCTGGCTTGATCCGAGCCAATTAGAGCTTCTACTACTGAAATTAGGGATCATTATAAGAGAGAGATTTGGTCTCTCTGTATGGCTGGAACCATGAAACATAAATTAGGTAGCTATGGGCAG